CAGCCTTGTAAAGAGAAGAAAAAAGACACATACCCGGCCTGACTCCAATCCCAAATCTGATCATAATTGGAATCCAATTGTTAAGAATATCTTCCATACTTATTGAAGACAAACTTTGATGTCACTCTTAAACCTTTTCTGTTTTTTCTGGACTTAATAAATCATAATAAATTGACTTGCTTTCTCAGAATACAGACACTATAATTATCTGCTTATTGTTCTCCCTGCTCACTCCATCAGCAAACCTGGAGCATCTTAAATACGTCTTCTCGGAAGCAACCGGACAACCAATTTTGATGTCGGCGTGTAGTGATAAGGCAAGTACTGTCTTCTTTTAACCCCGGTCATGTAGATCTTATTTATACTACACGGCATTGTATTCTTTTTTTTTACTGACGAAATAAATAAAAAAAAAATTAAAAATAAATAAATCTGTGTGGTGCTAAAAAATTAAAAAAAACAACATATAAAAGTTAACATTAAACATGTAAAAAATGTGCTGTTTTTGTTAATTAATTTCAGATTTACCTATTGCTTTTTTCAAGATTAAAACAGTAATATCTTCTAAGCATTTCTCCATTTGTTGGAAGTCTATTAGAGGCAAAACTCTGTAAAGGGAACCCTAGCAAATGAAATTGTCTCCTCTTCCTTGTAGCTTTTGACGCATCATCAATATCTTTTCTCAGTGAATTAGCGTGACAATTTATGTCAAGAGGCATTTTCTAAAATTAATTTATTTTATTTAAAAAATCTGCATTAGATGCATTTGGTTGTAGTTGATTGAATCAGAATTATCGTATACAACTAATAATGAAAAAATAGTAAAACTAGTAAATATGTTTTAAATACAAGCAGAGGCAGTTCTACGAATAAAATGAGGGGGGTGAATCCTTAAAAAGTACCGACTAGCTTCTTTAAGTTAAATTTACGCATCATTAGTTTTTATTGTTTATAAAACACCCATTATTTATCTTATTGTTAGCCATGCTTTTGTCGAAACATAAATAAAAATTGACTCGGATAAAAATCATTTTTAAATCAAAATTTATTTATCATAAATTATTATATAAAAGTATGTTCACCTAAATCAACTTCCCTTGTGCTAAAAACTTTTTTTTTATTTATAAAGAAAAACAAAAAAAATTTTTTTTTTGTTTTTCTTTATAAATAAAATTATGTTAAATGTAGTTCTCCGCACATTAAAATTTGATTTTGATATATTTTTGGGACACTATTAAATATTGTATTTGAAGAAACGTTCAAAAATGTTTAATCGTGTTTCTTTCCAAGCAGCGAACTCTTTTGCAACTCCAACCATATCAATACGTTTTCATGCGTCTTAAAGTAGAAAATGATCTTTCGCAATTAGCATTAGTTGCAGGCATAATCAGAAAAAGTTTAGTCAAAATAAACGCTTGAGGCATAAAGCCTCTTTTACCCGCACTTTGGTTTTGTAAAAATTAAACTAATTAGTTTGCATTTACTACTGTTTATTTAAGCAGAACCTAAGATTTGGCAATTAACCTACCAATTTATCTTTTCTAAAACCATTTTCAAATACTTCAAAAACTACATTAAGTTCTCTGTTATAGGCATTATGTGCATTCATTAAAACTTGTTGCAAATTTCGGTAAATAACCCAATCTGGTTGATCAAAACAATTTGTTATTGTTTCAGCTACTTTATCAAGAGCTTTGTAATAATCCTTTCAACATATCTCCCCGTTGTTTCACGATAGTATTTGGTATTATCAGTATAATAACTTTCGATTCTAGTAAGATGTCTTTTCTTCCTTGGAATATAAGGATTTCAAACTGCAATCGTAATTGCAAGAATTTGACAAGTTTCCAAAATCTCTCAAATGACTTATAATTTCTAATTGATAATGTTTTAATCATAATAGAGGCATAATGTTGGCCTTCAACAGCAGTGCATGCGCTATTCTGTAAAGTTCGTAACAATCTGTTTGTCTTAAAATCATATTCCACAAAAGATAACCAAAAAGAAAATCGAATTGCTCCATGTATATCATATTACCCTGGATTCGCGTTACCATTCTAGTTTCCTTTACATTTCCCAACAACCCCTCGCATTAATCCATTAGATAATCTTAATTTTTAATCACAATTTAGTACAATGCTCCATGAATAGTCCAGCGAGTTCAACAAAATGCATGAACACGACTACCATTTTCGCTTAATTCACGGAGTTCCTTAAATAAGTTTCTCTCATTGAAAGTATTATTACAATTTTTACAAATTTCTTATATTGTTTCAAAAGTTTCTGACAAAATTTAACATATAAAACAGTATCTTCTGTAGCAAGATTCAACGCATGCCCGTTAGGATGTGTATACAGACATTTTTGATTTAGGGGTCGTCCATAAATTACGTCACGCAATTTTTGACCAATTTTGACCTCCCCCCCCCCCTCGTCACAAAATTGTAATACTTAAGAATCAAGTTTTGTATGAGTCGTCACAAGACCACCAACCCCTTCCCCCCCCCCCTACAGCGTGACGTAATTTATGGGCGAACCCTTAGTGTTTCTATCAGTGTTACAACCCTTTTTTTTACTTGCAATAGCACTTGTACCATTGTAACATTGTCTACAAACATCATCAATTCAATTCGAGGATCATTCGTAAAATGTTATCCTGCAAATACAGAAACATTTTTTTAATGCTAAACATGAGATTAACAACAAATTTCCCGCAAAAGTAGAAAACCTTAATCGATAAAGTAATAAAAACAAACAGTCCACATTAATTATCTAATGAATGTAAGGAGTAAAAATTTTCGGAATTTGCATTTTATTGTTTCATAGATACTTTATAGATACCTGAATGATATTGAATTCCGTTGAATGAAGGCCGATAAAATCTATGTGAATTTGTAGACTGCCATCCACCTAGCGAAGACAGATGAAAATTTGTTCAAGATTAAACATATCACCATTCTCATTTATTATAATGGTATAAAATCCTGCTGACTGGATTTTTGATGTGGTATTATGCAATATATTATGTGCCATTATCTAAAAAAAGTTTCGTTAATAATTAACGTAAATGTATTTTAGTGTTATGACAATTTTGCAACCCTGTAACCCAGTTCTCAGTTAGAAAGAAAATATTGAATATTTATTGTTAATCTCAAAACAGTTTATCCCTTATTTAAATAAAAGATTTATGAAATATAAAAAATGTAATTTTGAGACACATGTTCCAGTAATTTACAGAAAGCTAATAAAAAATGAATAATTAAAATAATTTTACAGTGTATTTGACAATAAGTATTTAATCTTAAGTTTTTTCTTTGCTATAACATAAATACACTAAATCATGTATTACTTATTTATTGTACGTTCTGTATATATATTTGACAGTTGTTTTGGAATTAATGTTGGCTCTGTGGACCAAAATGTCTTTAACGATTTTAATGCTTTTGGATGCTCATTTCATGCTTCTAATAGATTAACAAAATCTTCAGGGTTGAAGTAGCGACCACCAAACCATATATCACCCCATGAACCACAGACGAAGTCGCATGCTACGCTTGACTAAATTTCGATTCTTGATAGTCTGGTATTAGAATGTAAGTAAGTAACACAAAAATTGTTCTCGAGTTCAATCTTGCATTGGTTATAGTAGGAGGTGATTTGAAATTCACTTTTGGAAAGGTACCAGTGCTTTTAAACTTTCTTTAACTAGTTATTAAATGATGCAGAAGATCCATGTCATTTCGTCAGCGTGTCTGACTCACTTTCGTCAAAGGATTTCTAGTATTCTGAAATAATAACTTCAGATTTGCTTGTTCCCATAAAACCCATTTTCAAGTTCTTGTGATATTTCTTTGTCATATTTGTGCTGAAAATGTTGAGCAGCCAATACAAGATCTTCGTCATTCAAATTTTTAAACTGCCAGAGAAATCCAAAAAGTTTACAAATTTCTTGTAAAGACTGAAATCGTCTCGTGAGGCCAGATTTAATTGAGTCAATGATGACAAAATATACATTGATTTTATAATACAACTCAGCATCATCTTGACTTAGAAAATGACAATTAGTTAAAAACTCATATGAAACACCAATATTTCTTGCAACAAATTTTGACTCATTTAAAATCCTTTGAATGTCATTACATAGATTTTCAATGTTATCCTTTTCATTATCAAGAGTGGCATGGCGTGTCTCGATGATTAGATTTGTCTGATGAATCATTGTGAGTAGCTTCATCCAGATAGACAACATCAAAATGCAATCAAGTTTGGAAATATACTTTTGAATAGCATTGAGTTCCATTTTAGCCTGGGCTGTTAAATGTAGCACCCCAAGTTCATTTAAAGCACTTCTTACTGAGTTCAAATGTTGTGCAACTGGTTTAACACCATCAATCCGTGCTGACCATCTTGTTTTGGACATTCCATGCAACGAAACAGGAAGATGTTGTTTTAAAATTTCCCACCTTTGAGGACTGCTACTGAATAAATTGTACATTTGCTGAATTGTTCCAACATACGTTACTGCTTTTTTGCATGATTCCGCGCAATCGACACTAACTAAATTTAATGAGTGATTTCCGCAGCTAGAAAACATGCAGTTTGGATTTTGTTGTATCAAAACCGCTTGCACCCCGTTATACTTTCCAGCCATATTAGCACCGTTGTCGTAAGCTTGACCAATGCAGGCTTCGAAATCCAGTTTTCAAATTGAAATCAGAGTTTTCGAAATCAAAGTTTTTAATATTTCGAAATCAAAGTTTTCAATATTTCTAGTGTTCGAGCAGCGATTTCTCTTCTAGTTTTTCTTGAAAAAATTTTCAAATAAAATAAATCTTTCTTCAACTGAAAAGTCTGAATCATCTAAAATTTTAACATAACGAATAACCAGAGTAGTTTGCTCCTTGTACGAGCAATCTGGAGTAGCATCAGCTATTATTGAAAAATATTTTGCTTTCACAATTTCGTGGAGGATTGATGTTTGAACGTGTGAACCACAAATATCAATAAATTCGTTCTGAATTCGCATTTGAAAGATAATGAGCTTGCATTCGCTGCTTACACTGTTGTGATTCTTGAACATGTTTAACATGCTCAGCTAAAAGTGGGTCATATTTGCTAAGAAGCTCAATAATACCTAAAAAGTTTCCATTCGCTCGATCACCTATTCGTTGGTTAGAACCAAAAAGTACTAATCCACGTTCAGAAAGAAAATTAATAACATCTAGAATACGTTGGAATAATTTTTTCCAATTTTCAGTTTCAGTCTTGAGTTCTGATAAAAGTAAATTATCCACTGAAGTTTCACATAGTTCTGCTCTACTAGCAGATTTCCATACAACATAGTTTTCTTTATGGTAAATTGTACTTTCGTGCGACGGAATACGATCTTTCAATCTTCTCCAACCTTTACTGATGCCCCATCCGGCAGAACTAGAAAAAAATGACACATTTGCAGCATTTTTGTTAAAAAGAAAACATGGTGCACAATACAAAGATTGTTTTTCAACACTCCAGCACAACCAGTCTCTTTTGCAAGTTTCTCCATTTGCAAGAGTTTTGTTTAAGAAACGATAAGGAAATGCATGATGATTAGAGTCTTTAACAATATTATTTGGAATTTCAAAACAAGTAATTTTAAGAAAATAGTTCACTTGACAAGAATTGTTCTTGTTGATAATCCCAATGTCAATAAAATTGAACGGATTACCTTGATGAATCGGATCAGTTATTTCTGTTTCCATATCTCCAATTTTATTTTCACCTGCATTTTCCTGTAATGAGATTTCGGTTTCAACTCGTTCCTGGTTTATAATATTTAAATTTCCTGCTGGCTGTTGTTCTAAAATTGGGTCTTCTGCAATTGGAACAACTATATTTTCAATGTTACCATTGTCACTCACACTTTGAGTTTGATTTGTTTGTTCAATTTGAACTGTGTTTTGTAATTTTTTAAAAACGAGTATATTTTCTTTGAGTTGGTGCATGCTTCTTCGGCCAATTCTTTTCTCCGCCGCCTTTTACTTGCACCACTATCAAATCTTCTCTTCATTTTAATAGTATCTGGAAATAATATTCAAATTTGAAAATATAATAAATTTATTCATCAATCGAACATATACAAATTTATAAAACGAATTATGTTTTAAAATTAAAAAGTATTTACCAGAACAAAAAAATATTACTATTCTCAAAGTTACGAAACGTAACGTACAAAACGCAATGTGCAAAAGCGCAATATATCAATTTTATACAAAATAATAAGAAACTGTTCAAAACAAATTGATTTAATCTTGTTTGATGAATTACAACACAGTCATAGTATTTAACTAGTCTAGAAACGCGGGCCGTTTTCTATAGATTTCGTAAAATAACTTAAGCTCTAAGGGGTGACCGGACTGAGAGTGCATCAAATGTTTTTAAAATGACTTTTTGTAGCGCAGACTTTGAAAATTTGAATGAATTCGATGCTAATTTAGCTGCTATTGAGTTGCTATTTGTTGGAGGCAGATATTAATTTCTGTTCAAACATTAGACTACCTATTTTAATATATCCTAACCAAAGCGAAGAAAGAATATTTATGTGTTTGTTTTGCAAGAAACGATGTATATCAAACGATGTATAACGGTGACTCGTCACCCCAACGCCAACCACAAGGACAAGATTACTGATAAACATTTAGTAAAGAATAAAAGAAAGGAAAGATTATTCTTCAACCTATTAGATTTTATGGTTATTTAATCAAGATTGCAGTAAAGCTTGCTTCAGATAAAAAGTACTTTGCTACAAGCTGACATTAAAAGTTTAAAATCAAGTAAAAATATTTCAATTATTTCAAGAAGAAGTCATTACAGCTTAGTTCCTAGTAAATATGTAATTATTACCAGGCTTGGTCGGGAAGCGGGAGCGATCACTCTCGATTGCTGACCACGTAAATAATATTTAGTTGCGAAAAGCTGGCCAGATTTTTTAACCGTTTTGAGAACATTTTAAAAAGCAAAAAAAAAAAAAAAGCGACGAAGATTAATTGGACCGATGAGAGACAGTTACAAAAAAAAAAAAAAAAAAAAAAAAAGGAAATAAAATATCTTTAAACGCAAAAAAACTTAAAGCTAAATAAATTATATTTAGAACAAATATTTTCGAAACATCGCTCTTTTACAATTTTTTTTTATAAAATTAAGCGATGTTTTTTATATAAAGTAACAACTTACGATTGTTTAAAAGGGAAACAAATATTCTTTATTTAACTAAGTTTGCAAGTTTTAGTCTTACTTACCCAGTGGGCGAGCGTCGTCCGGAGGACGTCCGCTGGACGTCTCACGGACGTCCAGACGTCCGTAAGACGTCCAACGGACGTCCCCCGGACGACGCATGCCCACTGGGTAAAGAATAATTTATTTTATAAATAAAAAATTTTCTTTTTTTAATACCTATTTTATGTTTCGCGTAGTTTGAAAAGTTTAACATATTTAAAGCGATTCTTCTTAGTAAGATAAACAAATGAAATAATTAAATCATTGAATTACTATAGGAATTAAATTATCAAGATAGAAATCAACTAAAAAGGTTAAAAATTCTTAATGACCAGGAAGCGAAACTGCTTCACAATATCGCTGATGATGTTTAGTGAGTGGGCTTTTTAATTTTAATTAGTATTTAAAGCAGCAAAAAGTATAACGAGTTTTAAGAATGGCAACTTAAGCGAAAATAATTAGAGTTAGTAAACCTATATCTAGAAACTTTTCTTTAAATCTAATTATTTGCTATATACATTTGTGTTCTGTTGTGACCTCAGGCGCGATGTTTGTTCATCCGCGACTTACTTTGTATGCGTTGTTTGTGTTTAGTAACTATGTTTGTTATATAATTAGTTTTATTAACTTTAACGATTATAACTTCATTGAAAACGCAATTATTTTTGCAAGTCTTTGTGTAAATCATGAAAATTGCCTTAAAAGATACATTACGATAAAAAACAAATACACAAAATTACATTTACATAAAGAATACAATCTCTTTTAAAATGAAAATAGGAATATACTAGTAAAATCTATGATTTATAATAAACTTTTACAATTTTGACAACTTAATTAATGTATATTTAAAACATTTATTTTTGTAAACAAATATTAAATATTTTTAAAACAATTTATGCTAGAAATCTCAAAACGTAACAAATCGTGAATAATACAAATTCTAAAACATTTCAACAGAATACTCTATGACCTTATTTCGCTTAATCAGCGTATTTTTTGAACCAATAGAATTAGTTTGTTCGTTAATTTGGCGGGTTTTTAGTGTTCGCAAATATTCTTTTTATTCTTGCGCTCAAAGATGTTTTGAGAACATTGAAGTTTTTTATGTTTCCATGTATGTCCGTAAAACAAAATTTTTTTGTTTCGTACATAAACTTAAATGACTAAAAAACCTGGCCAGTTTTACGCAACTAAATATAATTTCCGTGGTCAGTATTCGAGAGCGATCGCTCCCGCTTCCCGACCAAGCCTGTGTAATTGATTCATTTAATTGAAATGCTGAATTTTTTTACCGCTGATTAATCACTACTTATGCTACTTCAAAACATGAAAAAACATAATAAAAACATAACAAAGTAAAAAACATGAATTTTTGCTTTCAATACACGAAAGAAATTGTTTTTTTCAGAAAATATTTTGTAGAATCGATTCTACAAAACTTTTTCTGAAAAAACAATTTCTTTCATGTTTTGAAGTAGCAAATCTTGTCTTTGTTTATCTGACTGGTACCTCTTATCAATGATATTATAACATTTAAGCATGTATCCCTTTACATCACTAAACAAAACATTCTATTATGACTTAGTGGGAATATTTTTGGTACCTCTAATTTTACAATTGGTTTTCTAACATGTCTAAGTTGTTTAATGAGCAGTGTTTATCGTATTTGCTTGCAGCTAAGTATACATGGTCATCTAACATTTTATATACAAGTTCGTAGATTGTACATCGCAAATTATAAACTGAAAGCGTTTAAAATTCAAAAAAGTCAAACTAAATTGATATATAAAGAACATCAATTAAAAAACACCCTCTATTTTGGAACAAGAACATTAAAGAAAAAGTGAGATGACTTGAACCTACTAAAACGGCTATTTTCATAGCCATATATTTTTTAAAAATATTATTGGTATATAATTAGCTCCTAGAGTAGTTCAATAAATGCTTCATGTATATTTAATAGTTTTATGGTGTAGTAACTTTATAATAAAATAACAATAAAAGATTGAATAATTAAAATAATATAATTGTTTTTTAATTTTAAAATAATAATGTCAACACTGCTATTTTACATATATAAAAAATATTTAGTTTTGAATTAATCTAATAACACTATATTACTACCACTTTATAATACCTGTGTAGCTAAACACATTACATTTCCAGCTACTAAAAATATTTTTTATATTGTTATTATTGAAAGTCATTAAATGATGTTGCCCTTGCAAGCATTAAGTGATTGTTAATTCTCGCAAATAATTTTCAAATAAGCTATTCCATAATGTAATAAAACTTTTAATACAGCAAAAACTTATTACTTAGGCAGCAAGGTTAACACTTTTTCATAAATATTTTGTCAACTTTATATGCTCAAAAGTAAGTTTAGGTAAAATGCAAAGGCCATATTCTCTGTCTTCATAGAATGTATAAACAATATGGTTCCATTGTATAAACTTACCATCCTTACATATATCTTTTTCCATATGTTTTAAGTTGGATAAGTCACATTTAAATAAGACAGTAACGAGTTGTCTTATTTTAATGTGGTGGATTAGGCATAAACGAATCATTTAAAATGCTTTTTCAACAACTTGCGATTAGCATAAACATCGCAAGTTACAAGCAACAAATTTTAAGAAATTTTGATTGCTTTCTAAAGCAAAAGAAACATTAGTCATGCAGTGGCACCAGTTGTAAAAGTCAAGTATATCGTCTAGATTAGTCAAGTATATCATCATACACTGCAGCTGATTTTGAAACTAAAAAGTTAACATAAATATCTTATTTTAGTTAAAAATAACCTTAGATTTTGAGATATTATTTTTCTGCATTCAACAAAATAGATATTAAATTATAGCTTAAAATCAAGATTTAAAATAATTCTGCAATCTTCTTTTAATACACTGTACTTTTTTTATAATTAAATTAAATTTGATTTAAGTATGATAGTGATGCAATATTTGGTAGCAGACTTTTGCATCATCTTTATTGCATCAAGTATATTTTTTTTATTTGCTATTATATAAGTTGCAATGATGTTAATAAAAACAAAAATTTATATACGAGCTTTTGAATTTTAGTTTAAGATTTGATATACTAGCTATTTTTAAAGTATTTCTTAAAATCCTAATTTTTTTTACTGATCAAATTTTTTACTTATTAATAAAAATAGAAAAATATTTTTGCACAACATATATTGTTAGTATAGCACTTGTAAAAAAGGTAGAAGTTCTACCGTAGGGTAGAATATGTGATATGCATATAGTAAGGTAAAATCTTCTACCTTCTAAGGTAAAAAATTATATATTTCAAAGTAAAATTTTTTTTCCTTGTAAGGTAGAAAATTAAACAACAAATCACTATTTTTAATATAATTTAGGTAATAACTAAGATATAATTTTCTCTCTAAGGTAGATAAATATGCTGTGTTAAGGGTATAACACATCTTTAAAGATATCAACATTATCTAATTAAGCTTTGAAACCATTCAAAATGATAAAATTGTACCTGATTTTTTCTTGTTTCAGGAAAAGATACCAACATAGTGTAAAGAGTGATATATAAATTATCAACTAATCCAGCTAAGTAAACTATATATAGATTATAGAGTTTATTAAGCTATATTAGCTAACATTTTAAATAAATATACTCTGAATATAATACAAAGCATTTATACCCATACACATCCATCAAGTTATACAGTCGATAAAATGTTTGCATCTATAACATATTTTCATATAGTATATAACTTAAATGCTTATATGATATAAGCTATATGGTTGAATAAGCATATTTATACCAATACAAACTCTGTCACATAACTTTATTTATCAACAGTTGATGTCTTTATTTTATGCTATATTTATCATTTTTATTCGGAATACGAAATATATATGCAATCCAAAATATTAACTTGAAACTGAATAACCAAAAAAATCACAGTTTGTTTATGCCATTTTAATATTTATCCCAGAATATATATAACTTATCTGTAGCAAAATACAATGTTTACAATTTGATGCACTCTAAAGTAGGCTGAGCACTAGTATCGAGAGGAACTTAAGTGTTTTAAGAAAACGGCCCGCGTTTCCAGACTAGTTAAATACTATGACTATGATTACAATTAAAAAATTTAAGAAAAAATGAAGCTACTAAAAAGCAGAACACTAAGTCATAACTTAAAAACTCGTACTAATTAAAAGTAATTGTATCAATTTGATCAAGCGCGCCCGACGTTTAATTCTAGGGTTGTTCACGAAAGCCAAAGTTGAATTTTCGATTAAAAAAAAAATTTCGAAACTCTATTTTCGTTTCGGTAAGTTCGAAATAATTTTAAAGTAATTAATTTTGCATCGAAACGATTTTTTAGTTTCGAAATTGTAAAATTTGCTTCGAAATATTTTTGCGATTTCGAAATTCTGAAAATATTATCGAAATAATTTTTTACTTTCGAAATTGTAAAATTTGCTTCAAAAACATTTTTGTGATATCGAAATTCTGAAAATATTACTGAAAAAATTTTTTACTTTTGATATTCTAAAATTTGCTTCGAAATGTTTTTGTTATTTCGAAATTCTGAAAGTATTACACAATATACCAGTGGTTCCCAACCGGTGGTCCATGGACCCCTGGGGGTCCATAAGAACTTTTTAAGCGGACCACAAGATAAACGTAAATTCTAAATATTTTTTGGTAGTGAAACTTAATTTTGATTATTTTTTTCTGTTGAAAGAAACAAATTAAATTTTAAATTAAAAATGTAATTTATGCGAGAAAGCTGTTACACAAAATTTGCGTTAACTAATTCGACGAGGACTTGCGGACCTCTACGAAGTAATAAATGCTATATAATATCATTTTTTATCCGTAAATTTAAAATGTTAAAATCTTATCTCATGGTAAAGATAACCTTACTGATTTGTTTGAAAGAACGTAATTTGTGTTATTTTCTATAAAAATTCGATACTATACACGGCGATATTTTTTGATTGATTTTCTCCCACTTGTTTTGGTTAACGAGATTTACGGATGCGGATGTAACGAAAACAGTTTAACAAACAAGTTTGGCATTCTTATTTAAATTAAACATACGAATAAACAAATGTCTATAGAGAGAGGAAATAACTTTTGGGTTGAAGAAGAACTACGGGTAGGAACATGCGAACCCAGGTGGGCTAAAGAAATAATTGATGGCGTTAATACTGAAAAATCTTTTGGTGGAGACGAAATGAATGCTAATGTCGAGAGACATATAGGTTACCACATGTTATTGGCTGGTCCACTGGTAGATGGCTACCTTAAAGAAATTGGTAAGATATTTCTTCGTAAACTGGCAAGAGGAAAGACGACAGGTTTAGCTCCTACAGCTTCGTTGTTTATTCCATGGGGAATAATGAAAAATATAATAAGTCTGATGAAAGCTTATGGTTGTTCTTGCATCATGGTACAGGCAGACAGTAGCAAAAAAAAAAAACTGCAGATGAAGATAACATCAAAAGATGCAGCAAAAAAAATATTTGACCCTTCACGATTTGATGGAACAAATTTTTTGGTAAAAAGGATTTTTCACAAAGTTAATGGGGAAACAAACAAAAACAAGCACCTCGCATATAATGGTAGCGCAGAGATTGTACTAACTGATAACACTCCAATTCAATTTCAATATTCTCACAACACACAATATATTAGAATAAGCTTTTACATTCAAAGATACACTGCAGATAATTTTGTTGTTGATTCTTCATTACAAGCATTAATGAACCAATAATTTGTGAACTTTAAATATATACTATATAAATAAAGAATGTATATATGTACAAATGTGTCTGTATATATATATATATATATATATATATATATATATATATATATATATATATATATATATATATATATATATATATATATATATATATATATATATATATATATATATATTTATATATATATGTATATGTGGTTTGTGTGTATATATTATATACACACATGTGTGTATATATATACAAACTATATATATATATATATATATATATATATATATATATATATATATATATATATATATATATATATATATATATATATATATATATATATATATACGACTACCATAGCATTTACTGGTTTTACAAAAAATAGACATTTACTGGGGACATTTGATTTAATGGGGACATTTTCTGTACTCTTAAATCTTTTGTCCCCGTAAGCATCATTTTTTTGTAAATGAAATGTCCCCATAAGCAACTTTAATGCAAAAGCAAAAAGTACATGGACCCACTATCTTATAGCCTGACTCGTCTCTGAGTGCTGCTACATCGACTGAGGGTTTGGGGTCAGGGTTAAGATTATGGGTTAGGGTTGGGGCAAGGTTTAAATATGGTTAGTTTTTTGTAAATAATTGTTTTTGTAAATATGTATTTAAAAAAATGAAATAAAATATATATTAACTAAATAAAAACAATATAAATATTTAAAAAAATAATTTATTAAAACAAAATAATAAACTTGAATATGTGTAAATAAAAATAGACATAAAATAAAAATATAAAAAAAATAACATATGTTAAAAATAGAAAAGAAAAATTATATGAAAAGTATGTTACGGAACTAAAATATATATGTCCCTGTATGCATCCGCTAGGAGTATATGTATATATGTATATATATATATATATATATATATATATATATATATATATATATATATATATATATATATATATATATATATATATATATATATATATATATATATATATATATATATATATATATATATATATATATATGTATTTGTATATATATATATATATACATATACATATACATATATATATATATATATATATATATATATATATATATATATATATATATATATATATATATATATATATATGTATAAGTATATGTATATATATATACATATACATATATATATATATATATATATATATATATATATATATATATATATATATATATATATATATATATATATATATATATATATATATATATATATATATATATATATATATATATATATATATATATATATATATATATATATATATATATATGTATATATATATATATATATAATGATTATTTGTTTTAGAAGGGTAATACTGAACATGTTTATTAAACTTAATTTGCTAATAATATTTTATAAAAGATATTTAATTTGTAAATAGATTAAGAAAAATTAAATATAAAATTACTTGTAAATTAGTATTTTTTTTATAATATAAAAAAATATGCAATTAAACTTAAATACACAAATTTTTTAACTGTTTATGTGCATATTTTAAATAGCTTATATATATAAAATGGTAAAATTTTATGATCATTGTTTCATTTAGATAAATACCTAACAGATCATAAAAATTATTTAGCCTTTGAAACAATTAAGCATTTAAATGCTTAATTTTATTAATAATATATTAAATATAAATTTATAATAATGATAACTTTATTGGTCTTAAAAGTTCTGGAAAAATTTAAATTAGTTAACAGACGTTGAGGTCCAATACAATCCGAGGTATACAAACTCCTAACAGTTCTCAAAATTAAATTACATATTTTATCCAAGTATTTTTCTTCTTATAGGTTACTTGCCTTCATTACGGTTAAACTGCCTATTACTCAGTTACTTAATAAATTAAAACTAACTTTATTATTATGACAGTGGCAAAAATTACTATTTAAATTTAAAAAATTGCTTAGAATTCATTTCTTCATATTATATGAAAATAATATTTTGTTAACCGTGCGAAGATAATGCAACAGTAAGAATATTTAGGCAAAAACGTGTTATAACACGTTTTTGCCTAAATATTCTTACTGTTGCGTAGTATATACTACTCTTATCTATAGATGCTTTTTTTGCCTAAATATTCTTACTGTTGAGTAGTATATACTACTCTTATCTATAGATGCTTTTTATATTATTTTTTAAATACTTTAGATGTCTAAAAGTAAAAAAAGGTCATACTTAGATGAATACATGAGATATGGATTTACCTACATGCTTAAAGAAACCATTAGCTACCCACAGTGTGTTATTTGTTATAAAGTACTAGGAAATGACTCTATGAAACCTTCAAAGCTTGCTATTCACTTGAATAAGTGCCATCCTGATCTCCAAACAAAAGATACTGATTTTTTCAAAAGAAAATTTGAATCACTGAAGAGATGCAAATTGGATAAAACTGGGATTATTTACCAAACTCAACAGAATATAGTAGAAGCATTCTATAAGGTTTCATTTATAATAGCACAGAACAAAAAAGCTCACACATTGGCTGAAGAAGTTATACTTCCATGTACAAAAGAAATCGTTAGATTATTATTTGGAGAAGAAGCTGCAAAGAAGGTAGATAATATATCTTTATCAAATACTACAGTCAAACGAAGGCTAACGGATATTTCATCAAACATTAAAGAAAATGTTATTAATGAAATTAAAGAATCCCCATATTTTTCTATTCAGTTGGATGAGTCCACAGATGTAAGTTCAATGGCACAACTAATTGTATATTGTAGGTATATTCACAATAACAAATTTAAAGAAGAATTTTTGTTTTCTTCTTGCCTTGAAACAACAACAAAAGCAGCTAATATTATGGAAATTTTAAAACAGTTTTTCAATGACAATCAATTACAATGGAAATATTTGTTTGAAATTACTACTGATGGAGCTCCTGCCATGATGGGTTGTAAGTCTGGATTACAGACTAGGGTGAAAGAGATTGCTCCAAATGTAGTTGGTGTACACTGTTTTATTCATAGACAGGCTTTGGCAACCAAAACTTTACCAGGTAGTTTGAAAACTATATTTAATCAATTAGTCAAGTTGGTCAATTATATAAAATCTTCTGCTCTTAACACTCGCCTTTTTACAAAATTTTGCTCTGACCTAAATGCTGAATACAATAAGTTATTGTTTTATACTTCTGTGCGATAGCTATCTGCTGGAAATTTTTTGGAAAGATTTTTCATGCTTAGAAATGAAGTGAAAGAATTTTTATGTCAAATGAAAAGTGGACTGGTAGAATATTTTGAATTTGATAATTTTGAAATAACAACTGCTTATCTTGTGGACATCGTAGGTCATTTTAACAAGTTAAATTTGCAACTTCAAGGCAAAAATGCTAATGTTATTACACATTCAGATAAACTGAAGGCATTTATTGAAAAGCTCAAACTGTACAAGACTAGAATTAATAATGGAAACTTGATCATGTTTCAAAATTTAAATAACATAATTGGAGTTAACATGCTTCCTGAAGTTATAAAGACAGAAATAGTTTGTCACCTAGATAATTTGATTACTGAATTTGGTAACTATTTTCCAGATATGAATCTTTTGAGCAGTGAAGTTATTATATCACCATTTTCTTGTGATGTGAAAAATGTGAAAGAGGAAGCACAAGAAGAGTTTATAGAGTTAAAGAATGATACCACGGCTAAGGATCACTTCAAAGTAGCACCATTAAATAACTTCTGGTTGAAAATGAGGAAATCATATCCATTGTGTTCATCAATTGCACTTAAAGCCCTTATTCTTTTTTCAACATCATATTTGTGTGAAGCCGGGTTTTCAGCAATGCTATCTCTTAAAACAAAAAAAAGAAATAGACTTGATATTGATGCAGATATTAGATGTGCTCTATCAAAAACTAAACCAAATTTTCAGATATTAATTGCTAGTAAGCAGTGTCAGAATTCACACTGATCTGTTCTTGTATCATACATAAACTAAGATAAAAAATTTTTGTGTCATTGATAAATATTGATTTTGTGTCTAGTCTATTCATAAATACCTTAAATAAAATATTATCCTTATGAATAAAAGTTACATTATTAAAATGTTCACCTTGTAATAATTTTTAAAATCAAAGGGGTCCATGAAGATTTTAGGATATTTAATTTGGGGAACGGGTTAGAAAAGGTTGGGAACCACTGCAATATACAAATATTACTATTAAATTTTATTACTGAAATTATACAAACTTTTATTAAAATGTTTTTGTAAATAATTAAATTTTAAAAATTAACATAAAATAGTACATAAAAATTTTGGTGTTACCGCACAGTGGTGGCAGAGAAAAGGGTTTAACTACCTAGGGGTAGTTCGCAAATCACCTCACATATTTAGGCCTAGCGGGGTTTAGGATTTTGTGACACTTTGTAACCGGGAGGTTTACAAATTCGTGACATCACGGGTGATTAAAACGGAATAAAATAAAATTACTTACTTTAATAAAACTCTAAATATATAGAAAATAGTACTATTTTTGCTACTTTTTAAAAATAACTGCTACCGAAAAAAGTAAGGATATACTCAGAACCGTGGATATGCTGCCCACGCTCCTCCCTTAATTAGGGGGGGGGGACACATTAAGGGGCTCTTTTTCAAATTTTTGAGGGTCTTTTACCGAATATGGGAAGCTTTTTTATTTTTAGTAACAGGTTTTTTTAAATTTTAGGGGCCTTAGTTTTTGGCTCAAAGTCCTTGATTGGTGTTGCAAATATAAACAATAACTTTTATCAACTACAAGTAAACTTTCGAATTTGCTTATCTTTATACGAAGTTATTGTTATTAGTTACAGTTCAGTGATATTCCATGGACATCTTCTGCGCGGGACAATCAATACCTTCTCCTTCACCTCTCTCGCCTGATTAGATTATTTTTCATGACTTTTTACATTTATAAAATTATTTTTAGGGATTATATTTACCCTCACTATAGTGAGGGTAAATATATATTGCATTCAAGGCTATTCAAGCATTTATAAATGCTTGAATATTCTTTTTGATAGCTTGAATAGCGTTAAAAAATAAATAAAAAGTTTTTTATTGCCTGTCGTTTTGATTACACAAAAATTTCTTTTGAAAATACTTTTTTTATTTCGAAAACACTATGATTAAAAATCAAATTCATCCATCTTAATTTGAATAGCGTAAATTTGAAAGAAAAGTTGCGTAACTTTAGACGCGCAGAGTCTGTAAAGAATTTTATTTTTAATATCTCTAGATTTTTAAAAATAAAGTAGAACGCCAGCCTCAAAAAATTAGCAAAAACTAAATTGATCATCGAATTTTTCTCTAAAATCTAATAAAGATTAACTGGTTAAATAAGAAATATAGAATTTTGACACTCCCTTTTTAGAATGCATAGTTCACAGCACGCACGCAAGTCGTTATTGTTCCTCAACGGCAATTCTCTTGAGGCCTTAGACGCATGACATGAAATCATTGTTGCCATGTAAACGGCTAATTACTCTCTAGTGGTTATGTAGAGATTTACAACGGTTTCAAATCGATTTATGCCTTTGCGATTTTTGTGTTACATAAATCTAAAAAAAATCTTACTTTATATTAAAGTTTTAACAATCTCATTAATATCTCGGTGCGTAACTGAAGTAACATGTGGTACAAATTTATTTTAACGTAAGTTACTAATTTGTTAATATTTGTTACATACGAACAATTAAAAAAACTACTCGCTTTTTAGTTTGAATAAACAATGTCAAAAACAAATAAATCCGTTATTCAAAATTAATCCGAAAGGAATAAGAAAACGAAGCTTCGTTTGGACATATTTCGAAATGGACCAAAAGAATCAAACAAAATGCACCATTAGTTATAAGATTTTACCTTATAACAGTTCGACCAGTTCAATGCAATCCCATTTATCAATTTATCATTGCATTAATTCTAAAATATCTAAAAAATCAACAACTCTACTCAACAATGATAATATATCCGACATTTATAGCGGTATTGAGAATGGTTTTGAAGAGACTGGTCATAAAAAATTAAACAAGTTATTCGTTGAAAAAAAAGTTATTAAAAAAAGTTATTAAAACAAGTTATTGTCAGAAAAAATTTATTATAAAAAAAAAGTTATTAAAACAAAAAAAGTTATTAAAACAAGTTATTGGTTGAAAAAAAAAAAAACTTTATGATAAATATTTAAGACACAAAACATAAAAATGAAATAAACTACAAAAACTATAAAAACTTATTTAAAAAAAACAAAAAACACTCAAAAAAAATTTATTATACAAAGCTGTTGGAAAAAACTAACGGCGACACTAAAAAAACGTGAAATATAATTAAACAAATAATTGGTAAAAATAAAAGTGAAAAAAATAATCTCCCACAAAAGCTTTTAATTGATGGGGAAATGATTTACGATAAAAAAAAAAAATAGCTAAAAAACTCAACTCATTTTTTCTCAAAGTAGGGCCGAACTTGGCGAGTAAAATTCCGTCAAGTACCACAAAGTTTGAATCTTACATTAAATCATGTAATTCTATTATGGAAGAATCTAATTTAAATCTAAGCGAAATAAGGAATGCTTTCAACAGTCTTAAAAGTAATAAAAGTGCGGGCATTGACAAAATTAGTGTGAATGTTGTTAAGTCAGTCTTCGATATCATTGAACCGTCATTATTTCATATTTTTGATCTTTCATTAAAGCCAGGTGTTGTGCCGAAAAAACTTAAAATTGCCATAATCACTCCCATTTTTAAATCTGGTGACGAAACTAATATTAACAACTACAGACCTATTTCATTTTTACCCTGCTTCTCAAAATTATTGGAACGAATTATGTACAACAGACTTTACAACTATTTGATGTTAAACAGTTTGCTGTACAGTAAACAATTTGGATTTCAAAAAGATAGTTCAACAAACCATGCTATAATGGAACTAGTTAATCATGTATCGGATGCATTTAATAATGACTATTTTTTATTGATGACTAGTTTTATTGATGACTAGTGTTTATTGATCAGTCAAAAGCCTTTGACACTGTTAATCTTAAGATATATATAAAAAAACTTGAACTATTTGGAATAAAGAATAAAAATTTACTTTGGTTTGAAGATTATATAATTATTATTTATTGTATATAAATGATTTATACTTAGCATCAAATATTTTAAATGTTATATTGTTTGCAGATGACTCCAACCTTTTTTATTCCAACAAAGATATAAAAGCTCTCTTTAATATATTTAATGAAGAGCTATTCAAAATAAACGATTGGTTTACAAGAAATAGGCTTTCGTTAAATGTAGAAAAAACTAAATTTATTTTATTTTCCAAACCTAGTAAAGGTGATGATGTTCCTCTAAAATTACCCAATCTCCTAATCAATAAAACATTTATTATAAGGGAACCAATCGTTAATTTTCTAGGAGTAATAATAGATGAAAATTTGTCATGGAAACCACATATAAAATATATAGAAAATAAAATATCAAGAAATATTTATATATTATATAAAACTAAATCATATCTTAACACCTCTTCTTTAAAAAAAATATACTTTTCATTTATTCATAGTTTTATCTCTTACTGTAATATTGTATGGGGTAGTACTAACTATGGTAAGTTAAAAAAGCTTCATTGTAAGCAAAAACATGCATGCAGGATTATATTTGGTGCCCACAGAACTTTTCAATGTGAACCTCTTTTAAGGAAGCTCGGTGCCCAATGTGTCTATAAACTTAATATACACCAAGTTTTACAATTCATGTTTAAAACTAAACATGAACTCTCTCCTATTGTATTTCAGTCTTACTTTAGTGAAATCTCGCACAAGTATCCTACTAAATTTTCAATTAATAACATTATTGTTCCAAAAACTAATTCAAAACTAAATTCTTACAAAATCCAATACCGCGGACCGTTTCTATGGAAACATTTTTCAAAATTTATCACAAAAAATAATGTTCATCACATCTCTTTGAAAAAATTTAGAAAAGAATCTAAGAATCTCTTATTACAAAAAGACTTTGATTTAAAATATCTCTTTTAAGAATAATACACAAATAATATAAATCTAAAAAAATAGTTATTGACACTACTTCTCTTTTTTTGCAATTTAATTTTTTGTTGAAAAGTTTTAATACTTTTAAATTATTGTTAATCTTTGATATAATGCGTTATATTTCAACACTAATATTTATATTATGTTATTAGTTATATTGTAACTAACGTATTTAAAATTCTTGTTATGTACTTAGCTACTCTTCATTTTTTATATTAACTGACGATTTTTTAGTGTAAATTTTATGATGGGGCTTGATGATAAGACAATTTATGTCTTCTGCTTGCTCCAGTTCTCTTATTAACACGATTTATTTCATTGTAAATTTTTATATATGACAAAACTCTTTGCTTAAAAAAAAAAAAATTGGTGAATTTTATTGTTGGTACCGATCAGCCGATTTCGATAGTACGTCATCTAGATTTTGTAAACTTAGTGAGTTAAACAAAAGCTACAAAATGCCATGCATAAATACGGTGAGCAAGAAATTAATTCCATCAATTACGGACAATCTTAAATCAATTTTAATGCTAGAATTGAAGGGATGTCATTTCATTACAATTACTTGTGATAGTTGGCATCATTGGGTAAAAACAGCTACCTCGGTGTGAATTGTCATTTTATTGACAAAAATATGACTCTAGTTGACCGAAACCTGGATCTTAACTTTATGTCTGAAATGAAAACAGCTGAACATTTATTTAAAACGTTAAACAAAATCTTAAGTGAATGGTCAATCAATAATAAGATTTTTGCACTATTTACTGACTCAGGTGCAAATATTTTCTTTGCAATAAATCAATTTGGTGATAATGTTCTTAAGATTCCGTTTGCTGGTCATCGTTTGAATCTCGTAGTTAATGATCTTCTAAACGCGAGAGATATA